GCAGAGGTCGGCCGAGGTCGGTGCCGGAGGCCGAAGCGAGGCCGAGGCCTCAAGTCAAAATCGGCCAGTGTGTGAAACGGCCTCGGCCCGTAGATTATTCCGGCCGACACGTCAACGAGTCCGAGCGCTACGTGTCCGGGTTCCGAGTGTGCGCGCCTCGCGGGTCGGACCGCGCCCGGCCCGGCCTCGGCCGTAAACCGCCCGCCGTATACGTGATGTACAACGGCCTCGGCTTATATTTCATGGACGGGTCAGCCAGCACGTCCCAGGGGCATATCAAAGAAACATGCCTCACGTGTTCGATATTCCCCGCGAATATCGAACAACGCGGCGCCGCCGCACTGTGGCCGAGGCCGCGGTGGCGGAGGCCGACCGCCGGCCGGAATGACTGGCACGCGTGGGAGGCCTTGGAGGCCGTGGAGGCAATGGCGGTCGAGTTCCCGCCCCTTCAAGACGCCCCGAATAATCCTCGATGACTATTTCATTCCCAGCAACAACACGGCCAACAGCGGGGAGGGCTTAACTCGCAGCCATAAAGGCAGCCAGCCGGCAGTGCGGGCGCCGCAGCGCCCCACAGTGGGCCAGCGGCCGAAAACCCGGACGCCTGCGCGGCGCCACGCCGGTAAATCTCGAAACCGGCTCGATGACTGTCCGGCGGTCAACTTTCGAGGCGATCATTGGCAGTGTGGGAAAGGGCGTGTTCCTGAAGGAAAGACAGAGAGAGGGACAGAGGTAGGGCCGAGAGGACGCGGTGACAAATGAGGGGGCGACACGCCGGCCAGGCTCGCAGTGTCGCTGCCGTCCCTCTCGCACCCCTGCGGGACGCCCCGGCGGGGCGAGAGAGACGGAGCGACGGTGTTCCGGTGCGGGATCGCTCCGCAGCGGGCCGGACAGGAGACCCTCTCCGTGTTTACCTCGCGCTACAAGGGCCAGCCAATTATTGTACGGGGATTCGGACCGGGATCAGCGAGGGCGGGGCGGGGCGGAAGTGGGGCTCAAACTATCGGCAACAGGAGCGAGGGATGAAGGAGGGGTTCGAAAAAGAGAGGGGGGGGAGGGGGCATGTACAAGACCCGGCGCAGGCGGCGCCAGGCGGTGCCAGGCCAGCCAATGTCCTTTAGGAACCCGCAAACCACAGTCGCCACAGTCGCACCCGGCACCCGCGTCCCGCCGTCCCGGCTGCCAGGCAGGGTTCGAGCGAGCCACCCCCTCCCAGCTTCGTGCTCAGGGAGACCCTCCCCGACCCGCAGACCGAGGATAACTCGCTTCCTGTCTCTCTCGCTCCCCTGCGGCCCTGTGGCGCGGCGCGCGAGTGCGAGAGAGACGGAGCGCGTCCGTTCGCAATCAGCCCTCCGGAAGCAGGGCCAATCAGAGGCACGGCCATCCCGGGCCATCACATCCCCAGCACGCCAATCAATTTCAGGTCAAATATTCTCAACGCCTTTCAGCTTTTTGTCTGGCCTTGCTTCGCTTGGCTTCGAGGCGTGTGCCTCCGGGGCGAGGCGGGGCGGGGCGGGGTGCCCGAGTCGAACTACGCAACTGGGGCGCAAAAAAGATAAGACTCGCGGGAGGCTCTGCTCGCCTTGGCACAGCCTCGGCGCGACTCGGCGGCCTCGGCGGTGGCCTCCACCGTAAACCATTTCCAGCTACACGGCCAATTCCGAGTCGGAGTTGGCGGAGTTGGGATCGGAAATTAAAGCGAATCAGTGCGCGTCCCTCCGTACCCTGCGCGCCATCTGGGCCGCCCCGCCCCGCCCCGCCCCGCCCCCCCCCGCCCCCCCCCCCCGCCCCGCCCCGCCCCGCCCCGCCCCGCCACGCCGATGGCCAGTCAAGAATTTCAATTAAAACGGGCGACGTGATAAGCCATATCTAATGGCGCTCCAGGACTCGCATCCCAGACGAGCCATTAACAAAGTGCAGCGACATCTGCGGCGCGGCCCACAGTGTGGCCCACAGTGTGGCCCACAGTGTGGCCCACAGTGTGGCCCACGTGGCCACAGTGTGGCCCACAGTGTGGCCCACAGTTTGGCCCACAGTGTGGCGGCGGCCGGAGGCAGCGCGTGTCGGACCGGAAGTGGCGCCCGGAAACGCCCGGAAAATCCCGGAGAAGCCCACTGCCAAACACGACCGCGTGACACGGCGAGGACGGGGGGCTGGCTGCGAAGTGACGCGGAGGGTGGCGGTGACAGGACCAAAGGACTCTCAGGCAGGCCGCGCAGTGAACCGCCAAACCCAGCAGGGATCGACACCAAATATTCTCTGTCCACACCAGGACATTCGTGCTCGTATTCTTAAATTTCTGAAATACACTCCCTTGTCGATATAAAAAGACTATATGAGACAGCACTGCTCCAAAATACTTGCCCTTCGAATGTTTTTACATATTTACCACTATCTGTAATCAGCGGGTGGAAACTCCCTTAGCGCGGCTGGGACCATGTCTCGGGCGGCTCGCCACGGCCCGGTCGGCCGCCCGGCGCCCGAGAATAGGCTGCACCGGCCTCTATTATTGCTTAGAAATCAATTAAAAATTCGACTTTTGGAAAAAGTGGCCATGCTAAGCCACAATTTATTAACCAAGGAATCGTTTTCATTCATTGGATTTGACCAACAGACATGTTATAACAATGAATTTCTCTCCGAAACTTTTCGGCGGCGACGCGCAATCCTGCGAGCTACGGCCATCCTACGCATAGCAAACTTAATCCGTTTCGTTCTCAGCAATCGTTCATCGCATTGCAAATCCGAGGACAGATTCGGAATCTGCGTGAAATTTCCTGTGGCGTAGGACGTATCGTTATATTTAAAACTCTCGAGATAAAGTGTAGTTATAATGAGAAAACTACGTTAAATTTGCCGGTTTTTCAAGGTCATTTTAGGTTATTTTCCCTCTTATGACTACACTTTATCTTGAGAATTTTTAAAAATAACGATACGTCCCCACGCCACAGGAAATTTCACGCAGATTCCGAATCTGTCCTCGGATTTGCAATGCGATGAACGATTGCTGAGAACGAAACGGATTAAGTTTGCTATGCGTAGGATGGCCGTAGCTCGCAGGATAGCGCGTCGCCGCCGAAAAGTTTCGGAGAGGAATTCATTGTTATAACATGTCTGTTGGTCAAATCCAATGAATGAAAACGATTCCTTGGTTAATAAATTGTGGCTTAGCATGGCCACTTTTTCCAAAAGTCGAATTTTTAATTGATTTCTAAGCAATAATAGAGGCCGGTGCAGCCTATTCTCGGGCGCCGGGCGGCCGACCGGGCCGTGGCGAGCCGCCCGAGACATGGTCCCAGCCGCGCTAAGGGAGTTTCCACCCGCTGCTGTAATCAGTGAGTTTGCGAAAAGCCGCGTTGCAGCAACACAACAGCGAAACCGGGTAAAATCCTCCACCACCCTCTCTCCTCAAACAAGAGCACCATTTCCAAATCAATCTCCGAGGCCGCGCCAAAAATCCCCCCTCCTCCCCGCGGCCTAGCTCGCGCGGTATCCGTGTCGCGGATACGCCCCCCCGCCGGGCCTCGCCGGGTAGGCCACCACGGGCCTGACGCGCTCCCCCGGGAATAAATTAGGGTATCAAATTCCCCCTCCCCCGCCGCTCCCCTTCCATTCGCCCAAACTGATACCGCGCCGCAACCAGGCTTCACCGAGCGGGGGGCTCACACCGTCTCCACGCTGCATCTCCTCTCCTGGCGGTGGCGAGCAGCACAGCAGACTGATTCCGAGAGCGGGTCGCTCCGTCTCTCTCGCACCTGTGCGGAAAGCCCCGTGAGTGCGAGAGAGACAGAGACTCTCGGAAGCAGCGAGCCTCGAGGAGGGCGCATCCTGCTGCTGTGCTTCCTCTCACGTCGAAGACGCAATCTCGAGAACGCCCGAGAGAGAGAGAGAGAGAGAGAGAGAGAGAGAGAGAGAGAGAGAGAGAGAGAGAGAGAGAGAGAGAGAGAGATAATCGGCATGGCAATGGCCGCGAATCTGGGTGGCGCGCTGCCGCTCCGCGGCCGGCCTCTCCAAGTCTTTCCCAGTCTTTCCCGGCACAACACCGCCGTGCTGCGTCGCGCCGGCCACCGCCACGCCACTGCCACGGCAGGGATTAGACTCCGATATCAAATGAGGGTCCTTTGCGTGCGTGCGCCGAATGGCAAAGCCAAGGCAGAGCCGAGCCCCGCCTTGGGGCCGCCCGGGGCCCCCTCGGGCTGAATAGGTGTGTCGCGTCCAAGGACCCCCTTTGGGGCCCGGCCTGCCTGCCTGCCTGCCGCCTGCACGGCCTGCCCGGCCCACCGCCACGACCCCTAAAGAATCTCTTCTAAACCCTCAAGAGGTGCTCCTCCTTTGTCTACCTCTCTCTCTCTCTCTCTCTCTCTCTCTCTCCCTCTCTCTCTCCCTCTCTCTCTCTCTCTCTCTCTCTCTCTCTCTCTCTCTCTCTCTTTCTCTCTCTCTCTCCCTCCCGCACTCACACACGCACTCACGGGGTCGCAGTGCCCGTCTTAAGAATCTGCCTCCCTTCCTTGACTCTTCCGTCCCTTTTCTCTCCCCCTCCTCGTCGGGGCTGTACATTGTCAGCGGAATTGGCGCTTACTTTCTCCGCCCATCATTATCTTTAGAGCCGGGCGTCGGAAAAAGGAGGACCACTGCGTATAGTGGCATTAAGGCCGGGCTATACTCGCGACTACGAGGGCGCCATTGATACTTCGCCGAGCGAAAGTCGTGAAATTCACGGGGCCATAGTTCCACATCAAGAGTACAGTGCTCAAAAAGACGCGAGCTAGCGTCAGCAGCATACAAGAAAAATGGTATTCGCGATGTAAAAATAAATAGAAGGCAAAAAATCCCCTGTGAGAAATGAAAAGTTATCTCTAGGGTGAATGTGGGTCACTCTGAATTGATTATGATCAACGAGACACCGTTTTCCTTGATTCGAGTTTACCGGGCCATGCACACAAAAATGTCGCACCTAAAAAAAAAAACCCAAAAAAGTAATTAATAAAGAAAGTACTCACAGGCAGGGCGTCACACGACTCGATGTCCTTCAAGGGCTGGTCCGAGCAGGGCTCGGCCTGCAAGAAAGGGGGGCGCGGGGGCGGGGGGAGGTCGAAGAGCGGCGGCGGAGGCAGGCCCGGGCAGTCACAGTCCTCGGGCCCAGACATCGCCCCCGCCCGGGGGACACGCCAGGCCGGCCACCTGCAACCACAAAAAAAGGGGAACCATCAGTTTCACGTCTCCCACACACAAATGAGCAGTGTCGCGGACAAGGCCACGTCCTCGCACGGACAGGCAATGCATCCTCAGGAAAAATGGTTCACTTTAAACGTTTTCAGCATCAGTTTTATTTTTGAAAATTGCGTTAACAGCAAACGAAAAGCTTTGGAAACACGTTAAGTTTCCGCTTAGTTGCAACTCCCGCAGAGTTCCCTTCTCCAGTGTGGCGCCTGGGAGGTAGGCCGTCCACCGACAAGCCTGCCTCCGGGACGGCCTACCCGGACGGCCGGTCGAACCAGCCACCACCTTCACTTGTCACTCGCGGCGCCGCGAAGGCCGATTCCAAACCGAAGCGTCCTGTCTCTCTCGCGCACCCACACAGGATGGAAAAGCAAGAGAGAGAGGGGGGGAGAGAGAAGTCTCGGAATCAGTCTGCCGTGGGAGGCGGCGGCACTCCGAGCCACAGTCGCCGTGTCTCATGCTTATTTATCCCGCAAGGGGAGGGGGAGGCAGACACACACGCTTCCCCCCCCCCCTTCTCCTCCCCCCCTCTCTCTCTCCGCCTCGCTTTCCGGTAATCAAGTTTGACTTTTCTTGGGCGTGACGCGAGGCTACGCGACGTTACGCCCCCTGCTGCCACTAATGAGGACGCTTATACGCAGCTCGGTGCCGATACGGCGCGGCCCGCTTATTAGCAGACACAACACACACACACACACACAGTCAGACAGAAGAGGGACAGACAGACGGATACACAGAGCCCGGTTCCACCCCCTCCTTGCCGCCGCCCCGCTCCCCCACGCGTTCCCCATCACACCTCACGTGTTTTAAGTTTGGTCCCGCGGGCGCGCGCCCCGCGGCCCCGCGGCCGAAGGGCCTGTTTTCGCTTCATTTGAGGAGGGCGGTGAGGGGCGGCGCGCCGGGCAGTCAATAAAAGTGCCGAACGACGGCCGGACGGACGCACAGGAGGGGCGGGCGTGGCGGCGAGGCCGCGGGGCAGGCGGGCGGCACGGCGCGCAGCGAAAACGTGCATCGAGGTACACTGGAAAGTGGCGGCACAGAGGGAGAAGTGTTCCAAAAACCCGCGGAAACTCGAAAAATACGGAGGAGACACCAAAAAATTTCCGCAAGGTTTCGGATGGAAAGCCGAATCAAAGCGGCCGCGGAGTCGGTGGTGCTGGATGTCGGCCTCCTTCGCGTCGAGCGGCGTGCTGCAGCAGCTGGCCGATGCAAAGCCGCGCAAAGCCGCGGTGGACTTGGCGGACTTGGGGCGGAGCCAGGCAAAGCGGCCAGCCTTGCCCGGCCTTGCCGCCGCGGTACCGACCGACCGCACCCCCGCCACCACCCGGTACCAAAGCCACCGCGCCTCGAATCACGACCCATTTATTTTTCATACCGATATCTAGGGTGCGGCGCCGGCAGGGCCGCATCAAACATTCACGTTCACATTCGCGTCGCGCGTCGAGCGTCGCGCGGCGTCTCACGGGGAGGCAAGTGCAGCAGCGCGCATTATCAAACATTCAGATTCACAATCACTACCCCAGCGGTACACCTTGTCGCGAGGGGCGTCGTGCACCGAGTCACTTTGCTTCTGTGTGTGTGTGTGTGTGTGTGTGTGTGTGTGTGTGTGTGTGCGTGTGTGCCCTGCGGGTGTCCCGCGGGACCCACCGACCAGACAAAGGCAAGGAGGAGACGGACCTTGCGAGTGGGTAGGGGAGGGTGGGTGGCGACGGTGACCAAGGCAAGTACAGGAAGAGTAGGCAGTGTGGCAGAGCGTGTCCGGTGAAGTGAGAAAGTGAAAGGGAGGCGGGTTAAACGTGCCAGTAAAAAGTGAGAGGAAACGTGACAATCGTCGCGGAGAAAAATTCAAAGATTCGGTGAAAAAGGCAGGCGAGGAACTAGGGAATTGAGTTGGAGGGAGAGTAGGCAGGTTTGGAGTGAAGGTAGCCTGGAGCTGTCCAGCCAGCAGGGAGGGTGAAGGGACGACGCAGGGAGGCTGAAGGGAGGCCGAGGGAGGGCGCGGGGAGCGAGACCCGGGGGCACACGGCGAGCAGGGCAAGCCCAGGGCAAGCACGGCGCGCGGCAGGGACTTGGGAATATTATCGCAGACTGCACGACTGCGGCAGGACCGGGCCAACATCTTGGGATTTGCCCGAGAGGGCCGGGGGGCGGCACGGAAGAAAGGGAATGCAAAAAGAAAGGGAACAAAGCTAGGAGGGAGAGAGAGAGAGAGAAGGAGGAATGAAGAGGTTGAGGGTTATGTGCAGCGCCGCGACACGGCTAGACAGGGCGGTATAAAGGGGACCGCAGTGGACGCAGCACCGCGCAGCACGACGTCTTGTTTCGCGCCAAAAAAACCCTCTCTTTGCAGCGGAGGGCGACCTCGACCAGAAAGGCAGAAAAGGACCAGAACCAGGCGCCACTGCATGCAGAAGGTGACCGCTGTTGTGTCGAAGTATCATGTAGCCGCGGTCTCCCCACCAGAAGGGCAAATCTCTGTGCATGGGTGTTGGGGTTAACGTGCCGGCATGAACGATGACTGGCGATGGCGTTTCATCAATAGCACACACACACAGGCGCACATGAAGGGAGTGCAGTGCGGTGCATAGGGTGGGCGCCGGCCCAGCCAAGCGGGGAAGGGGTGCTTTGTTATATACGGCGTCGGCCCCCAGCGCTGCTAGCCCCACTGGCTCTGCTTGCTCCACTGGGCCGGGTTGGGGCGGCCTTGGGGGCGGCGGCAGCAGGAAGCCCTTCTGGCTGCGGTTCTACGCGATCAGCTGCACGGCCCCGCCCCGGCCGTGCAGCAGGCCGTGGGGCCGCTGGGCCGTTTCGCTTCTTTTCCGGCCAAACACTCCATTAAAGGGCAAAGGGTGACGGACTGCCGTAATGGCTCCCCCAAGGGCGAGTGCAGCATGCCGGCCCTGCACGGCTGGCCCCTCTGGCCGGCCCCATGTCTGGCCTCCGCGGCCGCCGCAAGGCACCCAGGAGGATTTCGCCGGGCCCCGCCCCGCCCCGGCCCGCATGCTCTGCTATTCCCTCAGAGCGGAAGCCCTGGATAATTATTCACATCGGCCGGCGCATCGGACGGACGCGCAGTGGGCCAGAAGACCGGCGGAGGCGGCAAAAACTCTAGACGCGGGTTGAGCTCCAGAGTCGCTAAACAGGACTCGAACCGAACGAGTGACCCCACCAATGAATTCCTCGTTCGGAGAGCAATCCATTGGTGGGGTCACAAGTTCGGTTCGAGTCCCATTTAGTAGCTCTAGAGCAGCGGTTCCCAACCTTGGGGTCGCGACCCCAAATGGGGTCGCGAAAAAATTTCAAGGGGTCGCGGCGAGGTGGCTGGGGTCGCCTGGGGTCGCGGTGGTTTCCCGGCTGGCCCACACGCCGAGCACTGGCTGCTTAAATGCCGCAAAGTTGATCAAAACGGTCACAAATGTGTGTAAAAGATCGTGTTTTGGGTCGACTTTAAGCATCCAGTGCTTCTGATCCGAGGCGGTAAATCACCCTCCCTCAACGGGCAATTGGTCTTTGGACCTTTCTTTTGCATGCCTTTGTTACGGAGTGCAATTATCTGACTCAGTTTGGAAGCAGTACTGCCGCAAAGTTGGTCTAAACAGTCACAAATGTCTGTAAAAAAATCGTGTTTTGGGCCGACTTTAAGCATCCACTGCGTCTGATCCGAGGCGGTAAATCGTCAGTCTCAACGGGTAATTGGTCTTTAGACCTTCCTTTAGCATGCCTTTGTTACGGAGTGCGATTATCTGCCTTAGTTTGGGAGCAGTTTTGCCGCAAAGTTGATCAAAACGGTCACAAATGTATGAAAAATCGTGTTTTGATCAATTTTTGTGGCAAAACTACCCCCAAAACTAAGGCAGATAATCGCACTCCGTAACAAAGGCATGCTAAAGGAAGGTCTAAAGACCAATTGCCCGTTGACGGAGGACGATTTACCGCCTCGGATCAGACGCAGAAAATGTTTAAAAGTCGGCCCAAAACACGATTTTTCAGACATTTGTGACCGTTTTGATCAACTTTGCGGCAATACTGCCCCCAAACTAAGGCAGATAATCGCACTCCGTAACAAAGGCATGCTAAAGGAGGGGTCGCGTGGGGTCGCGAAATTTTTCCTGGGGGTCGCGGAAAGTTTTGGCTACAAATTTGGGGTCGCGAACCGAAAAAGGTTGGGAACCGCTGCTCTAGAGCTCAAAACGCGTCCGGGATTTAGACCGTCTCCACTGGTCTTCTGGCCCACTGTCGGAAGGCGCAAGCACGGCGCAAGCAAAGGGTCCGCGGCCCGCAGAGCCAGCCTCCGCAGACTCGCCATTTTTTAAAGCGGGCGCCTTGTTCCTTGTTCCCTCTTTCGCCTTGGACACTTTCCAAATGACCCCGGGGACGACCAACGCGCTGATTAGCACTGAGCAGGGCCTCGTCGTCGTCGTCGCCGTCGTCGCCGTCCTCGCAGAGAGCACACTGCCTCCACCGCGCTTATGTCATCGAGTTCCAAACCCGAGGCTTGGCACACGTCCACCTGTCAATTCGGCCGATCAATCAATTAGTGAAAGCGACGGGGCCCCGACCAAGGCGGGCTCAGTAACTACTCCTCCGGAGATCCACTCATTTCCCTCGTTGATGCCGTGGTACTTCGCCTGATGAGCTTCCCTCCCCTCTCCCGGCTCGCCTCGGAGACCGACCAGCGCGCGGGGAGAAAATAGGCTTATTTATCTCAAGGTCCGAGAGATAAGCCCGGAGGGCGGCGGGCCGGCCGGTAGACTCATGGCCGGGCCCAGCGAATTATGGGCTATTGACGCCGGACCACTGGTGTGGAGGTGGCAAGGGGAGGGGGAGTGATAGGGCGGGTCGGCCACCTGTCCCCACCAAATTGAATAAATCCGGAAGGAGAGAGGCGACCCGTGTCGCGTGAATTAGAGATGGGGCGCGAGCGAGTACACGCATCAATCTGGGGCACAACGGGGCGAGGG